AGTCCAAGCCTTCCCGGCAGGTTCAGGTTCTGCCCTGTTAACCCCTGGGGGTGGATGTAACTTCCTCCACTAGGCAGTCCCTGAACCACCGGTGCTGCATCTTGATCCAACCACCACCACCTTAGGCTGGGCAGGGTGGTATACCAGACTGGTAAGTGAGCCAGGCTGGAAGGAAGGGCGGAGGGGGCCCTTATGCTGCCAGGACCCCTCCCATAACCAGTTTTCCCCAGGAGCTGCAGACATGACCTTTTCTCTTTGGGCCGGGTGTTGGGAGCCCTGGCCCTCAGTCTGACCCTCAGTGGAGAGTGAGGTGACAGGCTGGCCAGCAGGGCTCTGCCTCCCTCCGTGCTCCTACCTGAGGCCATCCAGCGATTCTGCTATTGATCTGGAGCTATCCCTTCTCACCTAACCCTGGGATTCCTGCCACTTTTCATGCTGCCAGTTCTCCCAGCACAACTAGAAGTTGGCAGAACTATCAAAAAAGAAGTCCATGAGAATATGGTTCATCCTTGGGGGACAGGGTTTTATATATATGGAGGGAGAGCCATGTATATATGTGTATATACATACACACAGTGAAGTCCAAAGTCACCTGGCCAGGTGGAGGAGGGGGGAGAGGACCCAGAGCCCGTGACTAAGAGAATTATGCCAGGCGTGGAGTGAGTTCCTGCTTACCTGTGGGTCTCCCCCACAGGACCCTGTGCTCCTTACGGCTGGCACACAGGGACATTGGTTGATTGATAGGCAGTACACACTTTGGGGGTAGAAGGCACATGGTGGGCTTCCTCCACATTCCCTGGGCCCACATCCCTGGGAGAGTAGCATGAGGACAGGGCTTAGCCCCATCTTACCCAGTGCCCGATTCTGGCGAAGACCAGCCCAGGCTTGCTAAGTGCCCTCACCCATGCAGCTTCCTTCCTCTCCTTCCCTGGTTTGGTCCTGGGCTGGCAGCTCCTTGCTGCTGTGCAAATCTGGGCCTGGGGCCAAGCCCTGAGCTTTGGGGGTGTCCCAAACTTCCAGGTCCCACTATGTGCATGTGGAGGTGGGGTGGGGTGCAGGGAGTCTAAGGTAAGGACCCTGGCCAGCCTGACTTCTGCCCTGCCCTGGGCTCTGCCAGGGGAGGGGAAAGCTTGGGCAGCCTCTAGAAAACCCAGGGCCCAAGGTCTCTGTAACCCAGTGGCCAGTTTCTGGGCCTGACCTTCATCTCCTTTATTCCTTTGGTTGTCCCTCCCCCATCACAAATGTTCTCTGGCCATACCATTCGGACCCAGTACTGGGGTCCTCTGGGCAACTTTTGCCTCCCACCCCACCCTCTCCAGAGAGCAGCCTGCATTAGGTTGATTCTGTAGCAGGGAAATAATGATATCTGGAAACAGTTCACTCATCCAACAGCCAAGGTCTGGGGTCTGCTCCACCTTACAGAGGCAATGAAGTCAGCAAGCCCCAGGGAATGAACCATGGCCTCAGCAGATCTCCTCCTTCCCCTACCCACTCCCCACACCTCTACCTCCGTCTGTCACCCCACACTGCAGAGCCTGCTGCTGCTACATCCAGGCACCTGGTTCCCTTTCCCTCTCTTCCTGGCATTACAGGTCCACTACATCTCAGCAGCACATTGCCCCCTGCCTCTTGGCTGGCTCCTTACCAAACATTCTCCTGTAAGACCAGGACGCGGTTTCTAAGGCAGGGATGCTTAAACCAATTCCCAACTCCATAACCTACACAGCATGGCCTTCAGGGCCCCATCACCTCCCTCATTTGCCCTCTCTTTCTCCTTTACGTGCTGCTTCTCCAGCCTGAATGCACCAGCCGTCCAGCCTTTGCCCAGGATATTCCCCCTGGCGTATGGGCACAAGGGTCACTTCTGCAAATCCCTTTTCCCTACTCCACTGAGACTCCGCAGCCTGTCCCAGCCTCTCTCTGATGCATAATGCTGCTTGTCACAGAGCTGTTTCCTACACTTGCCCCCTTGAGAGCAGGGACTTGGACCGACTGGCTGGGTGCTGAGCCAGAGGAGATGCCAACAGGGAGGGCAGATTTCACAACTGGGAGGGATAGAGAAAAGGAGAGACCTGGGAATCAGCCTGGGCCAGAGGAAGGCTTCTGTGCTCTACAGATCCCTAAGGGAGACCGCACCAGCCAGGGGTGACCAGCAGCCACAGGGACTTGAGGTCCTCAAGGGAGCCTTTGTCATCAGCCTGGAGCATGGAGTATTGCCCTTCAGATACCCTTTGGCTGAGCAGAGAGGCCCAGATGCTACATCCATCAAATCAAGGCCAATATCTGCGTCTGCAGACTTGAAGAACATCAGAGGCCTTTAGAGAAGGACCCTTTGAAAATTAGGGAAATGCCTGGAGAGGCTTGGAACTGCTGCTGCGTCACAGCAGGAGTGCAGGGACTCACTAGGTCTCCCAAAGCCTAGTGCCAGCCCCTCCCCATGGAGACCCCCAGGCCTGAGCCAGGAGCCCTGTCTACTCTGCCCAGAGATGCTGCCTCAGATTCCACATCTTCCAAGCTGAGCTCTGGGCATAGGGCCGGCCCACCTCAGATCCCCTCGGCCTCTGTCCTTCGTGTGGCCCAGGCAGGCTACAGGGCATCACCCTCAGTTTCCTACATTAGTTTCCCATGGAGACTGGGGCCTGTTTCCTTTGCAGGGAGTGAATTCCTTCCCTCCCACTTACACCATGGCTCAGCTGTGTGTCAGATTATGGCCTAGACCCTGGGGACCTCAAAGCTGCTGCTCTTGGACCCCACTCCTATAGCACTGACAGCACCCCAGGTGCTGACCCCTGCCTGCCACAGACCATGGCTCTGGACTCTGGCTCTGAGACCCCTAGACGCTCTGCTCTCTCCAGGCCATTTTGCAGCCTGGCTCCCTTGGACAGCTGTGGCCCTTGGGCTCAACTGCATCCCTGTCCTCCTCCTCCTGAGGGCCCACCAAGCCTCAGTACTTTGCAGTACTTTAAGCTGTGGAATACCTCCTCACCACCCCACCCCCCGCCCCCCCGCCTTCCTATCTGAGCTAACCTCTTCTCCCCTCCCTATGGCCATACAGATGTCCACCACCCCTCCTGGACTAGCTGTGTGGACTAGGGCAAGTTTCTTCCCTTCTTTGAGGCTTGCTGTGCCCAGTTAAGCAGGACTAACCACACCTTTTCCCAGGGCTGATGAGGATTATTGCCTTGTCAAAGGCTTGGCATCAGCTTTCCCACACTTCAAGGGCACTGGTGGAGTAGCTGGAAGCTCTCTCTGACAAGGCAGGGGGATGCAGCCACACCCGTGGAGGCTAGGGCCACCCCACTGCCAACCACAAGGGAGCTGGTGATCTGAGCAGGGGTGAGAACTAGACAGGCTGACTCTGGGTTGTTGCCACGGGATCATGGAGGTGTCCAGGAGACACCAGAGATGTGGTTTGTGTGTGTCTGGAAGGAGGGTGGCAGGTTTAGGAGACTGGAGCTCAAGAAATGAGTGGAAGGTGGAAGGGTGGGTAGACTGGGTAGTGCCCTAGCCTTCAGGCCCAGACCTGTGCTGCCAGCTGGGCCAGCACAATCCTTTGTTCTATGTGTTTGTTTTCCTCTTGGCTTCCCTCCAGGTTTGGTGAAGCCTCTGAGGGCTGAGACCTGCTTTGGCTTTATGCCTGCTCCATATTATGGTATCCCAGCAGGGAGCCTGCGCTAGAGAGGGAAAATGAGGAAGCTGGGCAGTGTCAGGGGTGGCATGAGCGTGTACACATGCATGCCCAGGCCCTTCCCTGTGGGATGCTGCTCCGCTCAAGTGCCTGTGAGAGTAAGGCTGTGGGCTTAGAAAAGGGGTATCTTGCCTTAGCCTCAGGCTCTGGTTCCTCGTCCGTGGAGATAGTGTGGGGTTTCTCAAGCTCTTGAGGACTTGAGACTGGGCTCCAAAGCCCCAGCCTGCATTCCCCTCTCCCAGGTCCCTCAGAACCCTCCTTGGGCCAGGTAAGAGGGTAGTGGGTTGGGCGAGGGCAGACAAAGGAGAGGGCCACGGCAGGTGTGACTGTTCCTGCCTGGCCCAGTCAAGGTAGGCCCTCCTGGAGCGACTAACTAACCTTTCTGTCAGGGTCTTTGCCTCTCTCCCACCAAAACCTAGGCCTCAGTATCTAGAGTAGCAGTTCTCAACCTGTGGGTCACCAACCTGTGGGTCGCTACCCCTTTGGGGGTCGAACGACCCTTTCACAGGGGTCGCCTAAGACCTTCGGAAAACACATATATAATTACATATTGTTTTTGTGATGAATCACTATGCTTTATTTATGTTCAATTTGTAACAATGAAAATACATCCTGCATATCAGATATTTACATTACGGTTCATCACAGTAGCAAAATTACAGTTATGAAGTAGCAACGAAAATAATTTTATGGTTTCGGGGTCACCACAACATGAGGAACTGTATTAAAGGGTCGCGGCATGAGGAAGGTTGAGAACCACTGATCTAGAGGAAACCCTCAGGCCTGAGAGCCCAGGCCCCATCCTGCATGTATGGGCCTGGGGCGATGGGGAATGGGTCTTCTGAATAGTCCCACCTCCCCTGAGAAAGTCACCTGGAGTCGCCACACCTCCCCTACCATCTAAATGGTCCTGTCCCTCTCTAGGAGAATAATAAAGTCATGATGAAGTCAGTATCGGACTCTGAGCTCCCAGGAAGTTCCCCTCCCCAGGGGAACTGTGCTGTCCCCGTCTACCTACCCCCAGCTAGGTGTCCCTGAGTACCCAAGCCTCGGCCAGGAGCCTCCCCTGGTTTCCCTGGCTCCCACACCTGGCTTTTGGAGTTTTAATTGCTGGTCACAATCATTACTTCTCTTTTAATGGACACAGGGCTGGAGAGCAGGGCTGTGCCCTGTGATGGACACCATTGTACCCACAGGGCCCAGCATGGGGCTGGGTACACTGCAAGGCCTTGGCACATATGAGGAATGTGTGAGCCAGCAAATAGCACCAACTCCTAGGCCTACACACACACCAGGGTCTGAGGCAGTGGCGGGCAGTTGCTTTGAACTTTATTTGAGAAAAACAGAACATAAACGTATCAAAAGAGCAGACAGGCTGACAGGTGGGGATGGCCGGTGATGGCTAATGCGGGTCTGAAGCAGGGCAAAGGCCTTTACTGGGCTCCGGATTGCTCGGGCTTCCCAGCTTCTGGGCCCCCAAGCTGGGCACGAGCCTCGAAGGTGACGGGGATGGTGATCTCTGATGACTGGTTGGCTGGCTTGGGCATCGGGGCCTCCACGGTGAGCGTGCCCTCAGGGGACAGGGAAGACGACACCAGGGTGGGGTCCACACCAGGGGGAAGCCTGGACGCGCAGAAAAGGAGACAAGAGTCACACACAGCTGAGTCACCGTATCCTCCCGCCCCCCACCACCGAGTGCCCAAACTCACGTGTATTTTCGAGTGAAGCACCGGGAAATGTAGCCGTGCTCATCCTGTCTCTCTTCGTGCTTGCCTGGGGGAGGGAAGGAGGTCAGAGGGTGAGCGAGGGACCGCCTCTCAGCTAGCTACATCCAAACACGCCCCGCCTAGTGGCCGGGACTCATGGCCGACCCAAACTGGTGGAGAGTTTTGGCCCCACCCCCACCCCCCCGAACTGTCCCAGGCCCTCATGGACTTCGGCAAAGTTCCATTTGCCTGGCGCACACGCCCCCTCCACGGACCGGGAAAGAGGCAGGGACAGCGCGGGGAACCTGGACACTGGGGGTGGGACTGGGGGGTGTAAAATCTCCGCTGGAAGAGGCCGCCTCTTCCACCAAGAGCGGTTTTTAGGGCCAGAAGTTCCTTTGGGAGCTATCCTCACCCCCCATCTGGAGAAGAGGGCACCGGCGGGTGTCCTCGGGGCCAGGAGGCTAAGTTTTCACGGCCCGGGCTCCCCGCCCGCCCCGCTAGCTTCATCCCGCAGGGCCGGGCTTGGGTGGGGTGCTCACCGCTGATCTCCACCACGCCTTCCTTGGTCTTGACCGTCAGCTCCTCGGGGGCGAAGTGGTTGACGTCCAGGGACACGCGCCAGCGGTCGGGCGTGTGCTGGATCTCGGAGACGCCGCTGCTGAGTTGGCG